AATAATAATAATAATAATAATAATATAAACCTAATTTATAATCTTCCAGTAACCATGTTTAGATTTTCATCAAAACATTTCAAAATGGTACAGATGACTATTTATTGCTTATGAAACAACTTGTGCACAAAGAAATACACTAAAGTGGCATCCAAATCAGAACACTGGCTAAACATCTATATTCTATTGATCATATTGACACCATTCTGATATCACCACATAGTCCCAGCTCTAGTGGGATTTTTAGCATCCGGATTCACCAACTCTTGTTAGAAGCATATTGATTTCTTACTACATAGCTTTGATAAAAAAAAAAAATCCATTTAAAATTAACTCCTATTTTCTTTTTTCTTTTTTTTTTTTTTGGTTTTTCGAGACAGGGTTTCTTTGTGTAGCTTTGCGCCTTTTCCTGGAACTCACTTGGTAGACCAGGCTGGCCTCGAACTCACAGAGATCCGCCTGCCTCTGCCTCCCGAGTGCTGGGATTAAAGGCGTGCGCCACCACCGCCCGGCTAACTCCTATTTTCTTAATAGTCGTTTGAGTAAATTTGCAGATCCAGGTTGCAGTCCGACTATGTTGTCAGGATCACAGAAGGCAGGGAGAAGCGTTATAATGCTGGATATGAACAGCTCTTCCCCTCGGGTTTTGGGCCTTCCTTTAAGAACTGAGCTATGAGGTGAAAGACACTATCTCAAACACCAACAACGTTGGGCCTCTAGCTGTTTTGTCAAATACAATGGAGCTGTAAACCTTCTCTTTCCAACCTCATTTCGGGTGTTGAACCTACAAAGGTCCCTTACGAGGCTGAACATAGAGGTGCTTCCTCAGCCTGAAAGCCCTCCTTCCGTCTGCTTCCTAACCCTGTTGAAATGGTAAGTTTTGTCAACTTGACACAACTTGGAATCACTTCCAAAGAGAGTCTTGATGAAGGACTATCCAGATCACTTGGCTTGTGGGAATATCTGCGAGGGATTGTCTTGATTTCCTTAATGGATGTGGGAAGACCCAGCTAACTCTGGGCAGTACTATCCCAGGCTTGGGACACTGTACTGTATAAGAGTAGAAAAGACTCTGAGTACTAGGTATGTGTGCACGCATTCTCTCTGCTGGTGACATTATATGATGTGATATTTCCAGCACCCTCTTGTAGCTAGAGTTTTCCTGCCTTTGTTCTGACTGTGGACAAGGCAGGAAAACTCTGGCTACACCTGCGGCTGTGACTCCCCCAAAGTGATAGCATACAGCCTGGAATTGTGAGATAAAACAAACCCCTTCACCCCTAAGTTGCTTTTGATCAAGGCATTTCATCACAGCAACAGAGATGACACTAGGAAACCTGCCTTTTCATCTCATCTCCCACCGCCTCATCTGCCTGCTCCCTGAAGTCCTGCCCACGAGCCACAGGCCGCCTCCCATGAATGCCCTTTTCCCCTCCTCTCTTGATTTTCTCATCCACATGTGGAATCCTTTGTTTCCTCCAGTCTACAGCCTACACCTACTAACCTTTTCATAATTCTGTCGTTATCACAACATCCACGCATGCTTACCTGAGTAATCTCTTCCTCTTTGAAATATTCAACAATAGATCTTTCTTGCTTGTATTGTTCACGGGCCATTTTTAGCTGATCTCTACAATTTCCTTCACTGCCTGCTGCAGTAATAAACAGCAGAATCTCAATAAGCCCTTATTGAATTGAGAACTCTGTTATGTAATATCCTTCTTCCTCAAAATCAATCTATACCTTTGAACAAAATGATTTTACAATTTTAACAGGAGGTTGTAGCAACCAAGTTTGATCTTGAATATTTCACTTTAGTTTATTAGTGTTTAAAATATTAATAAGAACCTGATATTAAATGTATGTATGTATGTATGTATGTATATAGTCTCCAAAGGCACTCAAGTCCCCCTAAACTACTCTAATGCCATCTGAGAAAGGTAAGAAATAATGTCTATTTTCTAGATGGGAATCCAAGTAGCCACTAACTAAATCACATGGAAGTAACTCCGAGACCAGAAGGGCTTCCGCACTCCTGAAGACAAGAAAGGTAGAAAATAGAAAGCTTTTTCTTAAACAGCTTGTCATGTGCTCACCGAGGGAAAAAAAATAAAAAGTAACACATGAGACAAGAAAAGCATATGTGCTCTAAGTGTTTCTATGGTTGGTTTCTGGCTTAAAATAGATGGAGCCAGATTCCACCGGGTTCCCACTGGTGGCAGATTTTTGGCCTCTTTAGCTAACGCGGTGATAAACATGGTTGCCTTACAGCTGGAGGCATCACTCTGAGGGCCTGGCATACTCCACAGCTGCCAGGGAACTTCAAAAATTGATGAAGCGAGAGTCAGCACAGAAAGTCATTAAAAAGAAAAAGAGCAGGATACAAACTGACATTCAAAGAAAATGCAGAAATTGAAATAATTAGTACAACAACAACAAAAACCTAGGAAAGAGAAGACACAGACAAAGGTTTAGGGGCAGACCTCAGCAGAGGGCCCAAGGACCAGCATTGGGCCCAGGAGAGGGAGATGATGGAGACGGTGGGTAGAGAAAACAAAGGTAGATTCAAGACCAGGTGGCTAGACAAGCCCAGAACCCAGACCTAACACAATAGGTACTAAGACATCCAACTAGAGCGATTTGACTCTGCCATCTTTAGTCATTCATTCAGACATTTCCCAAAGATGACCTCTTCAGGTCTATATGAAGAATTCATGTGTAGCCTTCCTTCCCTCTAATTATAGAAAAAAAAAAAAAGCTTATCATAGGAAAATGAAAAATTCAGAAAAATAAAAGTATGGTCAATCATATTATACTTTAACCACATTTCCTCCATGAGTTTGTTCATCAATATTTATTCTAGCTGCTATGTATAGGACATTGACTGTCCTTAGCTTTGGGGGAGTCACTGTGAACAAAATATATAAACCTCTGCCTCTAATAATTTATATTCCATCAAGAGATAAAGATGATAAAAATTGGTAGAAACAAGTGAACTTGGCAGCTTATTAGAACATGGTAGATACTGCAGGAAAATGAAGGGCCAGGTAGGGCAGGCACTCTGGGGGTGCAGGAGCAGCGGGAAGGACAAGCACAGATTAGTACCGTATTCAGTGAGACAAACTGACAGTACAACATTAACAACCCAGTGCCATATTTATGTCTCATACTTTTTATTTTGCATTTAAAATACGGTAAGCATATCTCTATCTCCAAGTCATTAAATATTATTTTACAATATGATTTTTAAATGACTCTGGGGAATTCCAATTCATAAGCACACAATATTATTTTAACTGCTCTGCTCTGCAAGGCAATTAGATTTTTCTTATTTTTGAGTGTGTGTGTGTGTGTGTGTGTGTGTGTGTGTGTGTGTGTGTGTGTGTGTGTGTGATGAGAAAAGTAAAGATGTGAGCTAATACAAAGTCAGGAGCATGGGGTTACGTATATCAATACTTGAATACACAAGTCAGAAGTTTCTCAAATGAGCTCCAATTCAGACTCCTTTTCTCTCTCTCTCCTGTGAAGATTCTCAACCACCCACACATGACAATCTTCATCAGCCTCCACAGAAGTGCTCTGGCTTCCCCCATTGCTCTACCATCAGCTTCTTTACGTAGCAGAAATACTCCTTATAGTAGAGAAGTCTACCTTAAGTGCCTGTGGAGCACACAGACTGGTACAAAGAGGAACAAGCCATGACTACCCACTGGGTTAATAAATAACAAAAAATTACAGGGTGTTCATGAAGAATGCTGCCTTCCATCCAGCTTTAGAGATGCCTGGAAACGTTTCCTCCCACTGAAGCTTCCTTCTATGAAGAGGGTGAGTCAGATCTCAGACATATTTAGCACCTGCTTCATAAGGTGGCAATGCATCTCTTAATGCCTTAAGATACGGAAACCACCATGCAATCTGGGCAGCTAAAGAATACTATGAATATCTGAGTAAATGCTAAGTAGCCTGTAGAGACAATGCAGAAAACACTTTCATTATCATCCCTCTTCCTAGTCATGTGAAAGTGACAATTATATAAATGCTTTGGTCTTGAAATCTAAAAGAGAAATATATTTTAATAGTTTATAAACTAAGCATCTTAAATTCTAGTCGTAGCATTATTAAACGTCTGCTTTTATTTTTAAAAGAAACAAGTTATACTGCCACAGAAAGAAGAAATAAGCCTAAATAAGACTCGTACAAAGCTTGGCAAATGAGGGAAGTCTACACTCCAAAAATAAAAAGAAAAATGTCAACAGAATACAGCATTTATTTGTCATATAAGATGGTTCATTATGGGCACATGCTACTGAATAATAATAGCATCTCTGTGGAGGCAATAGGAGATGCTGAGTTGTAAGTACTGCCTTTCATGCTTCTAACATCGTCAGAACCCCCCAGTCCAGTGCTAACTGGTAGTAAAAGCCTTCTGAAACTATTTCTTCCTCTCCAATGCAGCCTTGGGAGAAGCAGGAAGCAAACACCCTCCTGACTCTTCAACTGGGAAGCCAACTGTCCTTTCTATGGATGATTCAGTTGGCCAATTCACACACTCACTGCAAATGGACTTAGCTACAAGATGATGTGGGTTTGAGAGTCCACCCTGGATCTGAGTTTAAGTCTTTTAGCTGTGTATCTACTAAATCTATGATGATTAAGATTGATTGTCATCTGGATAGGATTAGAATCACCATGGAAACAAACTCTTAAATGTGTCTGGGCGGTAGTTTCTAGATTGCATTCATTGAGGTGGAAAGACCCATCATCAGTATGAGTTGCACCATTCCACAGGCCAGGGGCCTGGCTGGAATAAAAGGGAAAGTGTGGGGTTCCTTGCTCACTGTTTCCTGATTGTGGGTGCAATGTGACTAGCTGCCATTACTTTGCTGTCCTGGTGGACTGTACCCTTAAACTGTGAGCTGAAAGAAATGCTTCCTGCCTTAAATTGTCAGGTACTTTGTCCTACCAATGAGAAAAATGAAGACAAAATCTTCACCACCAACCTGGTTATGCTCCAGAGGCAATGAAGTGGAAGATTTGAGGATTCCAGCCACAGAAACAATTGTCTAAAGTTTCTCACATGACAACTCTTCAATCTGCCATTCGTGGTCAAGGGACCTGTTCACAATAAAACAGACAGCATTAAAAAGAATCTCTGGGAGAAAATAGCAGATAGAAAAAGTTATGGCTCCATGATTAAGAGAAAATACAGTGAGTATCCTCATTATGGACAATGTGGTCCATACTGACTTCAGAACTGCTTTGCCCTAACCTCCTTCAAGATGTACTATGGGACACAAGAATCAAAGTTGGGTATTCCCATCTTTAATTTTCAAATCTATCCTTAGAAATGGTCTTATGGGACCCAAACAACCAAGTTAAAGTATGTAAGAGCCAGAAATGAACTCATCTCCTTCGAGTAGGTTGTTCATACTGGGGACTACAGAGGCAGACCCCAAGGGCACTTGTTAGTATTCATTTCTTCACCCCTCATAAAATACAGTGTTTTGGAAAAGATTAGAAATAACTGTACCATCTTCCTTTTGGTTAAGATTATATCATTTGTCTTTCAGGTCATTCATTCACCAAGTATGTACAGTCTATTCTATACTAGGTGCTATTCTAGGAACCCAAAATATAGTGTTGAATAAAGAAACTCAAATAACTTATTATCAAAGAGTTAATAACAGGAGGCAGACAAATGTATACAATGCAAGTTCCATGAGTGCTATGAATACCGACAAGTGAGAGAAGAAAGGGGTAAGAGAGGGGTAGGGTCTCTGTGGAGATGTTTGAGCAGAGATCAGGAGACAGGTCAAAGGGACAGTCCTACGGACAGCTGGCAGAACGTCCTTAGAAACAGTTAGGGGAACAGCAAGGACAAAAACCTGCAGGGACACAATCAAAGAGCCAAAGAATGGCTAGAGCGCTGTGACCAGAGTCAACTGAGGGAGATGAGAAATGGAGTAATGTAGGAACGGGGATCTCCAACAATGCTACGGGCACTGTGGCGACTTTGCCTCTATACACAGGGAGAGAAGTCATCAGCAGGGGAGAGGGCTAAATAAAGTTTGATGTGAGCTGACTGCAGAGGGAAGAACAGACTGAGGAGAGACTGGAAGCAGGGGGCAGGTAGTAACACATTTCTCTGGGACAGCAGCAAATACCCCCAAATGCTTGAGGAGGTTCCAGGGAGTCGAGGAAGCCTGTGCTGTGAGGGAGTGGAGAGAGACTCCGGCAGTGAGCAAGAAGCGCTGGTTACAATCACAGCTTCAACACTGATAGAAGGCACAGGGTAAGGGATGCCTATTGAGGGCCAGTCTAGAGCTGGACATCTTCCATTTCTCCTGTCATGTGACCCCGAGAAAAGGACTAAAGAGGCCTTCTCATTACCCCTGTTTACAGAGGAGGAAACAACCACAGAGATGTTACGCAACTGGAAGCATGGGAAATGATTCCACAAAGCTCAGAGGAACGGATGTTGTCATTCCCGGTAATGATATATGTAGCGGACTTTCTTCTGGGCCACCAACCAGCTCCCAAGTCATGACAAGGAGACTTGTATTAGTTGTGAATGCTCAGCCTTATCCTATGATTGCCCCACTAGCTCTGATTCCTTGACCTGTTTCTCTTATCTACATTTTGTCTTTTACCTTTATTTCTGTGTATCTTTCTTGCACTGCTTCGCATGTCTGGCTGGCTGGTGGCTGCCTGGCTTCAGGCCCCAGGCACGTCCCTCTCTTTCTCCCTTGTTCTCTCCTCCTCCTTCTCTTCTCTCAAGCCCAGATTTCTCCTCCTACTTATGCTGTCTGCCCACCAGCCCTGTCTATTCCTCTCCTGCTTACCAATTGGCCATTCAGCTTTTTATTAGACCAATCAGGTGCTTTAAGCAGGCAGGGTGAAATAAATGCATCATAACTCTACCTAATTAAACAAATGCAGCACAAATGAACGTAACACCCCCTCACATAGTTAAAGTAATATTCTGCAACATAAACAAATGCAACACATCTTTGCCTAGTTACACAAATATTCCACAACAGGTATATATGCAAAAGTGCCGCAAAGCTATAAAAAAAATTGTAGCAATTTCACTCCATAGACAGATGAATCTCATTTTAATATACTGACAAGAATGGCAGGACTCAGCAAATGGCCCACGGGCCACATTTAAACTCAAGAAGCTGTTTCTGATGGCACTTCCCCACCCTTCACCCTCCACCCTCACACACAGACCAGCCCAGCATCAGCCCTGGGCATCCCTGTGGGCAGCTCAGGCCTTCATGCCCCCTCCCCACCTCTCTGTGCTATTGACCCTCAAAGAGGGGCTCATGCAGACCCTTCAAGAGACCCAAATGGCAGCCTTGGAGTCTGATGGTCATAACGAGGGGCACGATGGGATTGGAAAGCTGGTGCCCAAGATGAAAGTCTGTTTGACTTCCTGTGTTTTCTGATCTTTGTTTCCTAACCTGCAAAACTGAGAGAGGTGAACTAAAATCTCAGGTGTTTGGAGCTGGAACAGGCGTCTCCAACTCAAAGCAGACTTAGTGCAGCTATGAAACCTGAGTATGCCCAGCACCTTCGCAGATGCTAAAACGGTCTAGAAGCACCAGCACAAGGGCAAGCGCGTTTTATTCCAAAGCTCGCTCATAAATCAGGTATTTGAAACTAGACATGCACCTTCTCCAGGGAAAGTGTTGTGAGAGATAGTTTCCATGTGAACCCACGGAATTCTTTCTGCCACTAAAGGATCCAAATACGGCAATGACCTAACGAGGCAAGCATCCCCCACCTCCCTGTAAAGACCCCTACTGCCCATGCCAGGGCAGCTGAAGAAAGAAACTCTCAGGCAAGGGAAGTCCAGCAAATGAGAATGGAAACTGAATAAAAAGCTGGGGTTGCCTGGAGCAGAAGGTCAACGCAGAGAACAACAGATGTGCAGAGAGGAAGGGAGGGCCCTCTCCCCTTGGTGCTCCGCGGGCCATCCATCACAGCAGCAATCTGTCACCACTGGATCAGCACTGCAGGAGGTCCGAAGGGCCCAAGGGAGACAGAGATGAGAGGGGAGAAAGAAAGATCTAGGATGCATCCTCTCGGCCTCCATGAGGTAAGTGATAAATTTGTTGGTACACAGCCCAAATCCAGAACCATGAAAGTTTGTTCCTAAAATCAGCTTGGCACATTCCACCATTCTCAAGTCTGGAGTGATGGACCTCACTACTTTTAGCGTCTCACCTCCCAGACACAGCTCCAACCTCACACCTGCTCTCTCCACTCACACAGAGACACTAATCTGTATATCTTAGGTTGGCCAAGAAGCGATGCCCATACTCTAGGCAACAGGCATCATGGGTCCCATTGATACCTCCTCCAGCTATACCATATCTATGTACAGAGCTTTCGGGATGAGCCCAGCAGATTCCACTCCATCTTCTAGGCCACATTACCCTCCTTGAGACTTGTTACAGCACCTGCCAATTCTTTGAGGCCTAAACCACATCATCAGGTTGGAAAAGGGAGCCATTTGGAATCAGATGTAAGTAAACTGGGGACCTGCGGTCACATATATGTATACATACCCCTTCTGCTGTGGAATGGTCTGTATGTCAAATTGCTCTGATTGGTCAATAAATAAAACACTGATTGGCCAGTGGCCAGGCAGGAAGTAGGTGGGACA